CAAAATCATATCATCTATAAACAAAGATAATATGACTTCTTCTTTTCCATGTATATTCTGAATTAATCCTCACATCAACCCTCTAGGGCAGACCTTATTATCACTGTTTTATCGATGAGAAAGCTGGATGATTTATTCAGCTTTGCTGGGTTATGCTGTGGTAGGAAACAACCACAGAATCTCAGAAGGTTGGGACAGTAAAGCTTACTTCTTGTTCATGTTATGTTTTTCCTGTGGGCCGTGTCTTGTTTGTCTGGGACTGAAAACCCTATGCGAGACATTGCTATTTGCATGGCAGAAGGAGCTCAGGAATGGAACCATGCGACGGCACTTAAAGCTTCTATTGGGAAGTGGCCCACTAACTCCACTGACATTGTATTGGCCAAAGCAGTCACACGGCCACACTGGACTCCAGGGGAGCCGGCCCTGGAGTCCTCGCACAGGGACGGCCCGGAAGGGAGGGGCCTGGTGGGGAGAGGGAAGGAAGGACTATAGTACACTCTGCCGTACTGGGACTCAGGCAGGTCAGACACTTAGAAAAGGATCTGCAGCTGAACCGGCTATGATGTTATATTAGGTGAGACTATTCAAATCAAGCAGCTGATACGTCAGTTTTACAAAGGTAACACTAATGATACATTATGTGCCTTGTCTATGAACTTCATTCTTAGAAAACTTACCTCTAATTATTCCACTGGTTCTTGAAGTACACTCATAGTTTATTGCTCTCTTTTATCCTGAAAATAAAACTCTTTCACACTGATTTTTAGGATTAGGACATGCTTTCCACAAAGCACGACTCTTCTCTCATCCTGCAGCAATGCCTTCCTGATGGCTGCAGGAACCCTACACCAGGCTGAGACCTCACCCTGTGACATTGCTTTTGCCCACACACACTTTATTGTTAATATAACACATTTCTTTGTGCTCCCTAACAGATGCATTCTCCTTTAGGATATAACTAAATTCTGTTTTGTTCTTTTTACATTTTTTTTCTTGCCTATCTATTAGAATCTAAGTAGGTCAGAGCTAGTTAGGAACACTTTTTTACAGATACTGTCTTTTTTTACGGTCAAAATAGAAGGTAATGGAGAGAGATGTGGGAAAAAGCCTGGCCTGATTATCAGAGGTTTCTTCCAGGTCTAAAATTAAACGAATCATGTTCCCTTATTTTTCCCAGTTAAGGAAAATGTATTACTGATAAATTCCAGTGACTTGATTTTTTATATGTGTTTTTCATATGAGAGATACCTTTCATATTTACTCATACTCATATCACTGGTGGAGTTAGATATTTTATATATTAAAAAGGTATACATATAAGGTTTATGTGTATATGTATGTGTATGTACTCATATGTATATATGTACATATGGTGTATACACTCGTATATATATACCTTACCAATTCAAACCAAGTAAGAAAGGAAAGGCCTTTCTGGAGCATTGAAATATCTCAGTTATCGTCTCCAGTTACTTTATGTACTTTATTATTAATACTTACGGTAATAGAAGTAGTCTGCTAAAGCATAGTTTAGTAGAATTTCTTGAGGGAATTTACTTAAATATATAATGGCCATATCCATATTTTTTATCATAAGTTGTCATTATTGAACTAAAGTATACTTGAAATACAGAATACTTGAAATTTTCTTTTTGTGAATACACTGTTATGATTCTCCAATCTTCATTGTTAATAATATAAACATAGACTATAGCATAAGGATACCTGGACTATCACAAATTCAAAATGACAAGCATCCAAATTAATGTAGAAATGAAACCTCATTTTAAAAATGGATGATAGACTGTTCAGACATTTGATTGTTGAAAAACATTTTGTAAACACTATCTCAATTAAAATATACTGTACTAATGCTGAAGAGGACACTTAGGATATTTCCTTAAAGTTCTCTCAGTCTTAATCTCTCTGTTTCCATGTGTACAATGTCTATTTCTGTCTGTCTTTGCATCTCTCTCTACATTCTCATACTCACATCCACATATTCATATAAATACAGATTTATTTACATATACATGTATATGTAATATACATATATTATTATTATTATTTAGTTTCAGGTATACAAAACAATGTAATAGTTGGACATTTACACCCCTCACAAAGTGATAACCCCCCTCCCCCAATCTACTACCCCTCTGACATCGTATATAGCTGTTAAAGTTCCACTGACTCTATTCCTTATGCTGTACCCCACATCCTGTCACTATATATATATATATATATATATATATATATATATATAAAATTATAGTTGACATTCATTATTATTCAGCTTCAGCTTCAGGTGTACAGTGTAATGATCAGGCATCTCCACAGTCCATGAAGTCATCTCCCTAATAAGACAAGTGTTCATCTTACACCCTACAAATTCTTTACAACACTATTGATTATATTCCCCAAGCTGTCTTTCATATCCCCATGGCAATCTTGTGGTTATGGATTGTGTTTTCTAATCCCCTCACCTTCTTCCTCATCCACCCCCGCACCCCCCGCCATCTAGCAACCCTCAGTGTTTTCTCTATATCTCTGAGACTGTTTCTGATTAGTTTGTTCATTTATTCTATTTTTTAGATTCCACATATAAGTGAGATCATATGGTATTTGTCTTTCTCTGACTGACTTACGTATTTCACTTAGCATAATCTTCTTTAGGTCCATCCATGTCATTGCAGATGATAAGATTTTCTTCTTCTCTATAGCCAAGTAATACTCCATTGTATAAATGTACCACAGTTTCTTAATCCAGTCATTTACTGATGGGCATTTCGGTTGTTTCCATGTCTTGGCTATGTGAATAGCGCTGCAATAAACATAGGGGTGCATAAATTTTTTCAAATTAGTGTTTTGGATCTCTTTGGATAGTTATCTAATATGTATTTATTATTTAGGTGGAAAGAGATGGAGAGATTTGAGTAATATTGGGGGGGGGGTGATACTAATGGACACTGCCAATGGATTGGCTACTTTGAATGAGAAGCAGGAGTTATTAGGATGACTCCTTGGTTTTGGCTTACTTGGCTAGATTCATGGTAGTGTCATTTGCTGAAGTAGGGAGGGAACTCAGGAAAGAACGAAGTATAAGTGGGGGAAGAATGTTAGTTTAGTCTTAAATTGAGCAGATTGAGTTTGAGGTGCCTTTAAAACATTCAGGGGAAGTCATATTGAACATTTCTGTCTGAAACTGAGTGGGCTGGAGATATAAATTTGGGAGTCATCAGCAAATGGATGGTAATTAAAGCTGTAGAAATGGATAAGATTACTGAACCTTTGAAGAATAAGTCAATGCCTGGTTTGGGGATTATAAATCTGCAAAAGGAGATTGAAAAGGAGCAGCCTGAAATTTAGAAGAAAGCCTAGCTTTTCCTCTAGTGAGATAGAGAGGCGAGATCAATAGTGATTGAGAGGTCAAGTAAGATTAGAAGAATATCCGTTGGATTTAGTGACAAAAGGGTGATCTTTGCAATAGTTGTATTTTCTTAATGCATAGCTCTGACATTTTCTTCACCCAAAAATTCTTTTTTGACACCTCAATTCATTCGAAACAACGTCTGTACTTTTTCACTGGGTATTTAACTCCAAACATGATTTCGGTGAATTCTAATTTTAAAGCCTTATACCACCCAGCTCATAAACAAATACCTGAAACTCCAGCCGAACTCACTAACTTGTCATTCCTTTGAAGTTATTTTTCTGTGGTCTTTTTTATCATGCTTTTTCCTTCACTGTTATTGAAATTTTACTAGTCCTTGGAGACCCAGACCAAACAGTACCCCATTCATGCATCTTTCCCTGGTCATTACCTACCAAATGGGCTCACAAGCCTGAACTTCCAAATACTTTCTTTTCACGTCTCAGCTGGTACATATACAAATAATCTTGCATTTTAATTACTTTGTACTTGATTATCCTTATTAAGTTATGAGCTCCTAGAGATTTGAGACTTGTTTCTGTAATGTTATAGCTTCCAAAGCATCTAATATTTTTTAAGTGAATAAAATTTGAAAAATATACTTTACAGAACACAACCTATGTGTTAGTAACTATTCCAAGTATCTGAAGGCACAGTTTCAATTTCATTTAATCATAATAACTGTATGAAATAGTTCTCATTTCACTGATATGAAAACTTATGGTTTAGAGAGGCATATTTTTAAAATACATCTTTGGGGTAGGGCTTATTAATTATATTTAAAAAGAGATGAAGTTCCAAGATTTGTAAAAATAAATTCTTTGAGAGGTTAGCATCTAAAAGGAAGTATGTATATGTGCATGCATGAACTATGTACATGCATAAAACATTGTTTTAGATAGCCACAAATGGTTTCAAATAAAAGAGTTGAAATTTGTCATGAATTTAATGGGAAACAAGTAGTTTTGCATTTCCTGATATATTCTTGTTAGCTTTTCTGTTGCTATGACTTAATTTAAATTCCTGTTAAACTGTCTAGAAATTTAGTTAATGAGCTTAAAGTAAACTGTGTCAGCTCATTCATTCATAGTTTTCCTCACCTTTTCTTTTTGCATTTCCTGATATAATTGTTTAGTGTGTATGGTGATGAAAGAAAAATTCACAGAAGCTTATTAATGAATGGACAGGAGTGAAACTTCCATTTGCCTGTTAGAAAATTTCCTACAACTTTTTTCTTGTGATTTTTTTTCTTCAGTTCTTTAAAACATTTATTGTGTGCAAGGCCTTGCTGTGCTCAATGCTGGAGAAATACTAAGATGTATCTTAAAGAGCTTACAATGTGGTGTAGCAAATATCCATGTAGATAATGCTGTAATTCAAGCATAATAAAATGAATATAGGGATATACTATGGGTGTACTGAGAAGGAAATCATTAATTCTGAGGAGAGATGGATGCTAAATTAGGGACGGCTTCTTGAAAGTAGTAGTACATGAAAATCTTTACAAAAGAAACGATCTGTATTGAGAACTAAAAGAATAATTGCTTTTTTTATGTTTTCTTAATAGACAAAGAATGCTCTTCAAGCTTTGATTGATAAGCACCAAAGAATACCAGGAAACATTATGAGTGCTTTGTTAGAACGTTTTCATAAAAAATGAAAGATCAACTAGAAGACAATTTAATACATTTTTATTAATATGTTTGTGTCTAATACTGTCTTCTAAATTTTGTAGGTTCTATAATTAGTATTTTTTAAAAATCATGGTAATAAGCATCTTTTACTGAACTTGTTGAAAATTGTATTGTCAATTATGTGTTTGCAATCAATTGTGTCAAATTTTAAACAATAACTCATTATATGCCTAATAATCCAGAAAATGATCACATTTCTTTTTATAAATTACTAATATTGTATGATAAACATATAGATTATAAGAGTTAAGTTTATTAACAATAGCAATTTAAATTAAATATACATTCCTAAATAATGCATCTAATTTCTGTATCTGTTCTACTGAGCTAATTTTGCAAGATGGTACAACGTAGATGCTTAAGTTAGAAAAAAAAAAGCCCTTTTATCTGCCCCTGATTCCTTTCATGACCTTGGGCAAGTCTCTCTAATGTTTTTAGGCCTCAACAATTCACTTTTTTAAAATATAATACTATGTTGAAGAATATTATTTTAAATTCTTTATATTTGCTGCAATTGATAACTGTAGAATTGAAATTATAACTGAATTAATTAAATAATACAAATATCTTTTATAAGTTCATGTATATATTTTGTCCATGGGCCGTTTAAATTATTCCTTCAGGTATGATGTCAGGTTGCCAAGCACAACAAAGAAGATGTACTGTTTTTCAAATTGAATAAAAAAGAAACTAGGAAAAGTCAAATTTTTAATTATTGTTTTTAATATATTTTAACAAGAATCTGTAGACAAACAGTACAGTGTGTGCTGTGCACTGTCAGCCTTCTAATATGGCTTTAAGGTTAAAAAATCACTGTCGTGCTCTGCATTTCATGTAGGAAACTGATTCTAGGCTGATGAAAACAGAGTTCAAGAAATCTCTGCTTTCGCTCAATATCATGGTGTATTCAGTTTGACTTTGCAACCAGTCAAATGGTTTATTGTTTCAATAAAAATATACTTGAATGATGAATTTATGTGAACACAAAGCTTTCTGAAAAATATGCAGTATCTCCCTCTCCCTTTTTTAGATTTTAACTTACTTGAATTTTTGTATATATTTTTGTATAACATGTATGTATGTGTAATGTATATAAAATTAGGCAACATAAAAATAAAGCTGGATTGCAATTTATTGTCTTGTGAAATTGCATATGACATTTCCCTATTTAAACTGATTTTCCACCCAGTCATAGTCATATGTTTCAGCCACCATGAATAAACCATATTTTCCAATGTAATAAATGTGTATTAATTTCAGTTTTAATGAAAAGAGTCCATTTTTTTTTAATTGGGGAATTGGGGAGGAGAACCAGCCAAGCTGTTGTTCCTCAGTCCTAGTTGTGGAGGGTTCCAGTCACCATCTGGCTGCCCATCGGCAGCTCACGGCCTCTAAGCCCAAGGTGCTGTGTTCAATCTCAGTTGCGGGTGGACGTAGCCACCATTCCATGCTGGAGTCGAACCGGCGGCTTTGTTAAGAGCGCATGCTGTATCCACTAAGCCATCCAGGTAGCAGCTCAGCTCAAGGTGCTGAGTTCAGAAGGCGGGCGTAGCCCACCATCGAACAGGTAGTCTTGTTGTTAGGAGCAGATGCTCTCACCAGCTGAGTCATCCTGCTACCTGTTGGCAGCTTGGCAGCAGCTCAGCATCACTGGCCCATGTGGGAATCGAACCGGTGGCCTTGTTGCTCAGCTCGCGCTCTTAAGCTAACTCTTAACCAACTGAGCTACTCGGCTACTCGGCCGGCCCCGTGAAAAGAGACAATTAATGATTATTAGCAGCTTTCTTTCCTTTTAGCAATGAGCAGTGTTTGTTTAAAATTGATAAATATTTTCAGAATTAATGAGTAAATGATCACAAAATGAGAATAACGTTTTTGGGGTGACTATTGGGTTTTAAAAACTGAAGAACGAACAACATTATTAATGTAACAAAAGCTATTGTTTTTTTACGGTATTTAAGTTTTACTGCTTTATTTAAAACCTTTTTTTGTTGTTTTCTGATACTCAGACTAAGAGGAAGGCTTCCTGTCTTGCTTGATATAAGATCTTTATCTTGGCTATTTGAATTTAAACCCCATTTAGAAGACTGAGGGAATATGACTAAATATAGAAATATAAGTAATAACGGAAAGGTAGTGTTCTTGACCCTTTTTGTAGGGAGTATTCACAAGTTAGAATCCAGTGAAAGCTAGGGACTTTCTCCAGAAGCAAGACTATGGCACACTTTTATGAGAAATCATTTATACCCTTTAAAAAACTTTCATTTTGAAACAATTTCAGATTTACAGAAAAGTTGTAATAATAGTACATAGTACTCCCATATATTTTGTACCCAGTTTCACCAATTGTTATGACACATTAGTTCTATTCTCTTCACACACCCCTTATCTCTCCACATATATATCTATAAACTTTCTATTCTAAATTATCTGATAGTAAGTTGCAGATAACATGCCCCTCAACTGTAAGGCCATCCATTAATAGCACCACAGAATAATGATCAAAATCAAGAAATTCAACAGTCATGTAAAAGTATCATCTGGTCTGAAGACTGGATTCAAATTTCAGTTGTCTCAATAATATCATCCTATTAATTTCTCTTCTTGATCCACGTTCATAGGATCACACATTGTGTTCAGTTTTCCTGTCTCTTTGGTCACCTTTAATCTGGAACAATTCCCTAGCCCTTCTGTCTTAATGATACTTCTTTGAAGAAGACAGGCTATTTTGTAGGGTACCATTCAATTTATTTTTCCTTATATTTCATCATGATTTGATTCAGGTTATGCATTATTTCAGAAATACTACATAAATGATGCTGTGCTGTTTCCAATATGTTGAATCAGGAGGCACATAGTATTGGTCATTAGTAATGGTAGTAACTGATCACTTGGTTAAAATGATGCCCACCAGCTTTCTGCTGTTATTTTTTCCTTTGTAATGGATAAGTTTATGGAGAGGTACTTTCAGATTGTATAAATATCTTTCTAAACAAACCCACTAGCTTTAGCATTCTTTGAATTCACTATTCCTGAATAAATTATTACTATGAGGGTTTCAAAAGTGTGATTAATCTATTATTCTACATTTATTGGTTGGCATTCTATAAGAAAGAACTTTCCAATCCCCCTCCACACACACTTATTATCAGTATGGACTCTGAAATTCATATTTTGTTTAAAGGGTTATGTATATACTTTTAAGTAATTTAAATATGAAACCCTCTGAGTTTATAACATTTATGAACTATTGAAATAATAGATATTTACAGGGATAAGTGGGGTGAGCTTTTGTATTTGCGCATATGATTACTATTTTTAAAACATTTTTGTTATTTTTTTATTGTAAAATAAGTGTACAATTTTCTGGCATTAAGTACATTCACAATATTGTGGAACCATTACTACTATCCATTTCCAGAACTTTTTCATCATCCCAAACAGAAACTCTACTAAACAATAACTTCATTCCCTACTTCACCAGCCTCTGGCAACCACCATTCTACTTTCTGTGTCTATGAATTTGCCTATCCTATGTACCTTATATGAATGGAATCATACAATGTTTGTCTGCCTTATTTTACTTAGCATAGTTATTTAATGTCTTTTCTGACATCAAATGACAGTTCCAATGCAAATTCTCCAATTCTCTGACACCAACTGGCTGTCCTACAACTCCGTTCAATTCTGACATTACTGGAGTTAGACCCTAGAGGGTAATGGGGCTCAATTCCCATGAGAGTGCCCCACTTCAGATGCCAGTTGTAAATGGGGCCCTGAGGCTACCTGCACTTCTGCCTGGCCTACAAATTTGGAGGTTCCCATAACATCCATCCCTCCTCTCCACACACACACACACACACGCACACTGGATAATTCAATAGAACCATTCACAAAACTCAGGATAGTGCGATACTTACAGTTTCATCATAAAGACTACAACTCAGGAACAGTGAAATGGAAGAGAGCAAGGTATGGGGGTGGGGTGTGCAGGGCTTCCATGTCCTCTCTTAGGTGCACTATCCAGCACATCGATGTGTTCAACCCAGAATCTCCCCCAAAACTCATCGTGGCATGATTGATTGAATCATTGGACACGGATGATTGAACTCAATCTCTAGTCCCTCCTTGGAGCCTGAGGATGCCTAGTACTCAGGAAAATCCAAGGTTTTAGGAGTTCAGTGCCAGGAACTGGAAACAAAGATATCTCTCTCTCTCCATGCACACACACACACACACACACACACACACACGGTGCCAAAAATATATACACATTTTAAGAAAGGAAAAAACTATTAATTGTAATATTCAATATGTACTGAAAACAAAAGATGAATACAAGTCATATTTGACTTCTGCTAGTACAATAGGTGCTCAGACATATCAGGCCCAGACACTTTTGATTGTGACGAACGTTGTTCTGTAGACTTCTGTGGCGAGTGTGTAAACTGCTCCAACACCATAGCAGAAGAAGCAGGACTTGCTGTGCGAGGCCTCCTGGACCTTCCCTTGTGCACATCACACACTGTACCGTGCATCTCAAACTTATCACGAATACGTGCAACTGTTAGGCGTGTTGGAGGTTCTGTTGCATACTCACACCTCCATTGTACTTTCACAGCATTCTGGAATTTCAAATACCATTTCAAAATGGTCTTGCACTCCTCAAATGACAACCGTGCCTCTGTCATTTTCTTTGACTGTCCTGCCTGTCGCTTGGTGAGGCTAGCATTCATTTGATTAACACCATCTTTTGGGCAAACATCATATTACACATTGCTACTGTAATTCAATTCAACTTCAGAAAGCAATCCATAGATAACATCTCTTAAAATGTATACCAGGGATGCCAAAAAAATGTATAACATGCTTGTATTCATCTTTTGTTATTGGTATATATTAAGTATTATAATTTTAATAGTTTTTTCCTCTGTTAAAATGTGTATACATTTTTTGGCACCCTCTGTATTACAATTATATATTTCTGCAATTATAAGAGGTGCTCAGAGTGGTTACCATCAGCGTCCAGACACTTCTGATTATGACAAACTACTGCTTGAGCAACATTGACCAAAGCGTCCACTTGTATACATTTTTTTGGCACCCCCAGTGTGTGTGTGTGTGTGTGTGTGTGTGTGTGTGTGTGTGTGTGAATTTATATATTATAATGTAAATATATATGTATGTATGTATATTATATACAAATATGTATATATGATTACCATTATATATATTACATATACGGTATATATTTCTTGTTGTTCATGTTGTAGCATGTATCAGAATTTCATTCCTTTTTAAGGCTGAAAAATATTCCATTGTGTGTATATATCAAATTTTGTTTCATGTAATCATGAATTGATGAAAATTTGGATTGTTTCTACTCTTTGTGGCTATTGTATTAATTGTAATAAATTTGTATTATATTGTATTATTGTAATAAATAATGTTACTGTGAACATTGGTGTACAAGCATTTATTTGAGTCCCTGCTTTCAGTTCTTCTGGGCGTATACCTAGAAGTGGAATTGCTGGATTTTATGGTAATTTTATGTTTAACTTTGGGGAAAAGCCAAACTTTTCCACAGAGGCTATACACCATTTTACACTCCCACTAGCAATGCACCAGGTTTCAAATTTCTTCATATTCTCACCACCAACACTTGTTATTTTCATTTTTCTTGATAATAACTATCCTAATGGGTGTGAAATGATATCTTATTGTGGTTGTGATTTGCATTTTACTAATGACTGATGATGATAAACATTCTTTCATGTACTTATTGGTCATTTGCATATCTTCTTTGGAGAAATGTCTCTTCAAGCCTTTGCCCATTTTGAATTAGGTTTTGTTGTTGTTGAGTTTTGGAGTTATTTATGTATTCTAGATATCAATCCCGTATCAGGTATATGATTTACAAATATTGGGTTGTCAGAAAAGCCATGACGCATTTTTGCAACAAAAAACAGAAAAAATACATCATGACTTTTCTGACAACCCAATATTTTGTCACGTTCAGTGGGATATCTTTTTATTATCTTGATAGTGCACAAAGTTTTACATTTTGATAAGATCTACTTTATCAATTTTTTCTTTTGTTACTTGTGCTTTTGGTAGCAAGAAATCATTGCCAAATCCAGTATCATGAAGATTTTCTGCTATGTTTTTTTTCAAAGAGTTTTATAATTTTAGTTCTTAAGTTTAGGCCTTTGATCCATTTTGAGATTTTTGTGTGTGTCTAGTTTAAAGTAAAGGTTTA